CAGCCCCTGGTGCGCCTCTTCACGCACACGGAGCGTATTGCGCCCATTATCAAGGCCTTGGCCGATCATGAAATTTCGAATCTGACCGATCCCACGACCATTTTCCGTGGMAACACACTCGTCTCCAAGATGATGGATGAGGCCATGAGGCTATCGGGTCTTCACTATCTACACCAGACGCTACGTCCGGTGCTGTCGCAAATTGTGGCCGAGAAGAAACCATGCGAAATCGATCCCAGTAAGGTGAAGGATCGCTCGGCTGTTGACACCAATCTGCACAATCTCAAGGATTATGTGGAGCGTGTATTCGAGGCTATCACTAAGAGTGCAGAGCGTTGTCCCAAGGTCCTCTGTCAGATCTTTCACGATCTGCGCGAATGCGCAGGCAAACATTTCCCACGCAACCGCGAGGTGCGCTACTCGGTGGTCTCTGGCTTCATATTTCTAAGATTCTTTGCGCCCGCCATACTGGGTCCCAAGCTGTTTGACCTGACCACAGAGCGACTGGTAAGCAAAGAATTTGATAATTCGTTGATATTCCTGATCTAATTCCGCCCGTTTTCTCTCTGCAGGATGCCCAAACAAATCGCACGCTGACACTYATCTCCAAGACGATACAGTCGCTGGGCAATTTGGTCAGTTCACGATCGTCGCAGCAACCCTGCAAGGAGGAGTACACCGGGGAGCTGTACAAGAAGTTCTGCACAGAGAAGCACGTGGATGCGGTCAAGCACTTTCTCGAGGTTATCTCCACGCCAAACGCCTGTGACACGCCCAGCAAGCAGTTGCAATCAATGCCGCAGTTGCCATTAGAACCAGTATTACTAAAGGAGGGGTAAGTTTTATCTGAAATTGATTAAATACACATGTGTGCATACTGGAAAACAATTGATAGTTTTCCAATAGATTGCAATATCTTGCTATCGATAGTTTTCCATCCTTGCCATTGCTCTCAGTGCAAACATATCTCAAAGTTTTGTATACACCACATTTGGTTGATTATGCTTTATTTTATTCTAATACCAAAACTTTCTTTGTCTTTCTCTTCTTTTACGCGCGTGCTGCTTTAAAAAAAAAAAAAAAAAAAAAAAAACAAAAATAAAAATAAACAA